AATTACTTGTAGCCTTCAGCAATAAAAAAAAAATGCACCCACGTTTTGGCCATTTGCTGGAAGCTGCTTGAATAGGTTTGTACTGATGATATCTACCACTGAGGTACCTCTAAGGTCAGATCCATGGCTTCAAAACATATCAGGAAAATGAGAACCTTGAAAAATCACCTCTAAAAACAAACTTGGTAAAACTCTTAATTTCATATAGTGTGGTAAGCTTTACCATGGACTATACAGTGGGTTGATTCATTCAGACATTAACTTATGTTTATTCTGATTGTATCTTCCCCCTCCCCCCCATTACTATTCTAAGAAGGTAGTCAGGCATTTGTCTTCTCTCACCTCTGGAACTCAAGGTTGCAAGAGAGAGGGCAGAGTTATCCAAAGACAACTCTCCCTCAGGCATTGGGAATTAGTTTCTTTAAATCCCCCTTGTTTGAGACCACTGAGTTAGGTCAGCCCAAAGAGTGATGGAGAGGAAATGATCTTCTGAGACTGGCAAGGTGGGAGGGGGCAGGTAGGTCCCAGTAGGGGACATGTCTCTGTTCCCTAATAGCTGCCTTGGAGGAAAATCCTCTTGGAGCAATATCTGGTGTGGTGCCCCTTAGGGTGAGTCCATAGGCATGGAACTTCCCCCATCTTCCCCAAGATCCCACATTTCAGGAAACAATGGAGTGCTCAGCTTCTACAGGTAACATAGGCTTGGACATTGAGTAGTGCAGGGGAGGTCTCTGAACATACAATCGTAGATTGTATAAGGCTTCCAGGGATTGGAGTGGGGATGGAGGACGCCCCTGTAATGATGAAATTTTAACTTCTCAGCCCCTGGAAATTGGCAGTTTCAAGTCAGACTTGATCTGATTAGAAAATGAAGTGATGTAATAAGCCAAGCATGGTGGAATTACATTGTGTCCAATACAATTGTGTATGCGAAAGCAAAATATTAGCTTGAAATGAATGGTCATGCATAGATTTGCAAGATCTCCCTTTTTTTTTTTTTAAACTTTCACTTTCCCTTTTGTAAAACTCCCATACCAGAGTATTTTCAACACGTAATACCTTCTTGGTCTGAAAGGCCCCAGTGGAGCTAAGCAATGTCCATGAGGGCTTCTGGGGAGCCATAGGAAGACCAAAGAAATGAAAAAAGGAAAAGGAGATGAGAAGAAAAAGAAATGAAAAAGAAGAGAAAGGAGAGAAAGCAAAGTAACCCTATGTGTAGACAGAATAGATGCACTTGTATGGCACATGGCTTCCGGCCAGACCAAAGGAAGATACCCATGCTGGTTCCTCCCTTTCCTGTTATCTCCACATCTCTTCTACTTTATTTCCCATTTGGTCAGCCCGTCATCATCCCACAACCCTCATCTGTCTCCAGGCAACAGCTACTTCATTCCCAAGCCCTGGCTGGCTTGGCAGGAGGCATAGTGAAGCCATCTGGGTTTGAACCTCATACAGACCCGCATTTTCAGTCTGCTCTGCCAGCTCGTGGGCACCATGTCTTGGGCACCAGAGCCTCAAGAGTCAAGAGAGTCGTATGGGTCAGTGTCCACTCACCAAAACCCTCAGATTACTTTCTTCTTGATAGCCTTGAATGAACACTGGTGCCAGCAGGGGGCCTGGCCACAAGAGAGGGAAAGGGTACTGACGAGTGTCCGTGGTTTTGCAATCATATCTGGGAGTACCCCTGATCTGGGGTCTCTCTCTACTCTATGGATTTTCAAATTTCACCAGGCATTGGAATTACTGGAGGTCTTGCTGAAACCTGGATGGCTGGGCCCTGGCGCTAGCGTGTCTGGATGTCGGCAGCCTGGGCAGTGAGGGGTAGAAGGTCCCAGGTGTTGCTGGTGCAGCTGGTCCAGGAACACAGTGTGAGCATCACTGACCCAGTTCGTTCTCACACCCAGGCCAAAGTGATTTGTTTAAAGTCTTGCTTTTATGATTTCCCTTTTCTACCTAAAATCTTCTAGTAGCCCCCTCCAAGATATATTTTGGGGTGTCAGTTATAAATGAAATGACATTTTCCTTGGGGAAGAGGAAGGAGGCCACCATCTCCTTACTTTCTCCTTTTAGAGTGTCTCCTGGAAGTAGGGGCCCCCCAAAGGCCCACCTTTTGATTTTATGATGCAAGGTCTTCAGCCTTCTGACCCATGGATCCATAAATACTTACTTCCAGAAGGAGCTAAGGGGTGTCCAGGTATACCGGACACAACCATGGAGTGCATGCATTCATCTCTCAAGGAGAGATGTACCCGTACATGCATGTAAATCTGTACTCTCACTAACAAACTGCGTCCTTTCTCTTCTCTCTTCATTTGTTGCCAGAAAGGGTTTATTTTTTATTTTTTATTTTTCTTGGCAGGATGGTCTTATTTCCCTAGCACAACCCTAATTACTTTCTTCTTCTCTGAGAACCACCCTGCCCACTGGGATGATGCAATTAGATTCTCCCTCCCAGGAATGTGGACTCAGTACTGACAGACACAGTGTGCACAGAGCGGGTAAAGGGAGGGGAGGAAGGGAGGGGCAGGGAGAGAGAGGAGACAGCGAGTCAGACGTGCAGAGAGAAGCAGAGGTACTGATTCTTGGGGCCTTTTCATCTAGGGTATGGTTCCAGTGAGTTCCAGCTACCAACCCAGAAGCCACCCACGTCCTGCAAAAATCCCTTTTGGATTTATGCTAATTGCAACCGAAATAACCAGTGCTGAGATATTCCCATAGCCCTCATGAGGAAGTCCAGATTCCTGGACGTGGTAACAAAGCTCCCCACGATCCCACGCCTGTTCAGTCCTCCATCTCCGATCTCAACACATTCACTTCCTATTCTATATTTTAGTCACATTGAACTCCTTTTTAGCTCTTTCCACTCTTCAGGCCTTTTAAGCATGCTGTTTTCTCTCTGCTTATATCACTCTTTTCTCCTCATCTTTGCCTGGTTGGTCTTCACCTATCAGTGCAGGAAGCCCTCCCAGATATACAGCTCTTCTCCATATTCTTGGAGTACCTTTAGCTGCCTGGTGACTTGTCTTTCTCTCTCCGTAGATTTTGGGCTCTGTGAGGCCAAAGACTGAGTCTCAATCGCTATTGTATCTGGGTGTCTAACATAGAACCTGGTACTTAGTGGGCACTCAATAAATACTTGTATATGAATGAATGGAGTGCCTCCTTACCATCAGTCACTTACTCCAGCGGCAGACTGACAACATTGAAAAGAAAAAATGAAAATGACTTTGGCTTCAAGCTATAGACTGTCATTTGGAAACACACCTGAGGTAAAGGATCAGATATTGCCATGGTTTGGGACTATCCTATTACCTTCATTGTATCCCCTCCCTCCCTTATTTAATGACTGTGCCAGGGTTTCTAATTAGAGAAAAGGCCTCTTGCATGTATTGATTCAAATGTGCTGCATCACCAGGGAGATGTAGAGTATAAGGTTAGAATTTAGCGTATCAGAAATCCAATCTGTTTGAGATCTCTCAAAGAGGTTTGCCCTTGGGTCATTCAGCACAGACTTTCATAGTCACTGAAAACTGTTGTCATGGTAATCATGGAAGCTTTCATGATTTTTGTGTATGAGTTAATGAAGATACTGGAAACAGCCCAAAGGAATTCATACTTGGGTGTGCATTTGTCTCCATATTAACCCAATCACTGTTTTGAACACACATCTGCCCCTGGGCTGATTCTCTTGGCTCTTGGTACTGACAGGAATAAATAAGCAACTGATTCCTTTTTGGTATTTTAGGCTTGGAGGCTGTGGATGGCTGCCCTTTTGGTCTCATTTCAACAGGAAATCCCACATGGAGGGTTTAAAGGAGCAGAAGGAAAAAAGAATGGGGTGTGAAGCAAATATCTTTCTTTTGTTTCGAATTATTAATGTTGCTGATTTCCAGCATCTAAAATCTAATGTCTGTGAAGAAGTTTCAATTGTGGAGAGCACAGAACATTAACTACATCTACAGCATTTCTTTCATGGTCCTTTATAAATATGCCTTAACATAGGCCTCCTTCAAGTCTACAAATTTAGATCCAAATATCTCAGTGTGTTTATAGTATTGGAGTGTGAGATTTTCCACCTATGTCCTGCTAGTGATTTCCCCATATCCGTGCTTCCTTCTTTCCTTATATACAACTCCTTACTTTTAGCTAGGCATGTGGATGCTTGAAATCAAGACATTTCCCATTGTCCCTTAATGCTGGCCAATGACATTGAAGTAGAAGGGGTGTATTTGACTTGCTGGACTTATCTTTAAAGGGGATGGGTATGTGTCCTTCTTTATCTCTTTCTGCTGACAGGAATGTGGATGTTATGGATGGAGCTAAGGCACCCATTTTGGTCAATGAGTTGAGAGCCATGTTGAGGAGAGCAGAATGACAAGACAGAAGGGGTCTAGGTCCCTGAAGATAGTAAAACTTCCACAGAAGCCCAGACTGACTATGTTTACAGGAGAAAGAAGCTTTACTCTTACTTAAGCAATTGTTATTCTGAATTTTCTATCATCTAATTTTAACTGATCTACCATCCAAAAATGAAATTTATTTTTTCCTATTTCCACTGATTAGGTGTGAAACCTTATGTGCTTTTCTGTGAGATTTACCATTTTCTCCCAGAGCATGCTGGAAGGTAAGCATGTTTGCATTAGCCAGACTGAATTTTCTGGTTTGGGGAATTGAGACAGCATTTCAGTGGCAAGAAAATACCTACTCCAGCTTAGCTATAGAGACCTGCTGCTTTTGCCCAGTCTTTGTATGTGTGTTTTGAAATTTTCTAATATAATGGGACCACATCTTTCACTCTAAAATCAGCGCTCCTATTTCAGATGCTTTTGTGGAACGACATAGGTGATAAATAATAATTATTATTAATTAGTCTGAATGCAAAGCAATTGAAGAAAGACCAACAAAACTCCAAACCTTCCAAATTATCTGAAACAAATACAACAGCCCAATACACGGCAGACACAAGCCTCATGCTAGTGAAGAACTACAGTTTTACTTACTGAACTTGGGCCTTTTAATCTTCTTTGTCATGTCTTTATTTGAGTGTATTCCAGTCACCAGCAAAACTACAGGGGAAAAGAATGGAAGAAAATCTAATCAATATCATTTTACCTAAACACTTTCTCTCCTTTGGCCCTTATCTTTGCTTCGATCCCATGTGAAAATATTCTCATTGGTGGAACTAATTTTCCCTTGAATGAAGGTCAGGGAAATAAGATGATTAGTTTGTGTGCTTGTCTTAGCCTCCACGGAAAGGGGCCTTTCCAAAACATCTCTGGGATACCTGTCCTTTGTTTTGCTTGTTTACACTTCACCACATCAGCTCTGCTCTCTCCACGTTCCAAGGGAGGAAATGTGAGCCTGGAGAAGTCCACTCATTTGCTTGGTGCCAGAAATAAATGATGAAGGAATGATGAGCACCAAGCCCCTTCTTGCACTCTCCGTTCCACACTGTTTCCAAACGGCTAATTTCCAGCTGGTCTGAGAACTGCATGCGCATGCGCGGGCCTGTGTGGTTTGTGTGCATGTTTGTGCGTATGCGTGCAAGTGAGAAAGGGAGGGCTGTCGGGAAAGGAAGAGTGGGAGAAAGGGGCCTGGGGAGAAGAGGGAGACTGGTCACAAGGTCTTAGGTGTGACCTGAGTGTCCCCTGTTGGCGCAGCACCACAGTATGGAAAATGTAAATATAGATGCACACAAACTTATATTATTTTTGCTTTTTTTCCATATGTGTACATATTCATGCAGGTGCTTAAACAAACCTTTGATCATGTTCACATTATTTACAAAGTTTTATAACTTATTTCTACTTGAGGATATATACAAACATTTTTTTCTTGTCATTAAGTGTTCGTCTCACAATAATTTTAATGCGGGCAAGATATTGTACTGTGTGGATGGATCATAATTTAGCCAACTTCTGATTTAATATAAATAGCTTCATCTTTACACCGATCTTTTGTTATTTCCTTTAAATAAATTTCCAAATAGGATTTCTTGTCTGAGGGATTGCACACTTAAAATTTCAATATGTATTGTGAACATTTCTCATAGCATTCTTTTTTATTAGCAATGTCTGAAAACACTGTCTCTGTCCATGTGAATTCTACCTGCAGATGGAAAAGCAGTGTTTTCCCTTCAAAAAGCTAGTCACTTCTCCATTCTTCTTCCTTCCTCTCCAGGTCTCCCTTCTACCTTACCCACCCAAAGCTGGTACTGTTTCACATGTCTATTTTAGCCACATTGTTTGAGAAGCTCACTTTCAAATGGGGTTGAGACTCCAGAGGTAAACATGGAGAGATAGAGTAATCAAAATAGGCATTCTACTTCCTGCTGTGTGTGTGTGTGTGTGTGTGTGTGTTTAACACAACACAGATGCTCAATTTAGGCATAAATGGAGTTACAAATTCTTGAATTGGCAACTACCTTTGAAGGAAAATGGCACCAGCATTGGTTAAGAAAACTTTGTATTTATCTCATGATTAGCTAGTCTGCACCAATGATACAGCCCCTGAATTATCCCCAGTTTTGACCATTAGCGTTAGTTGAGGCCTGGACAGTTGACATACCATGTCCTTCAAGAACAGACGCATGAAAGAGAAGTGAGTGAGAACCAGAAGTCAAGCCAAGTGGAATGAAGGCAGACATTTTTTACGTGTTATTTACTTCTGGGGTTTGGGTGGGTGTGAGTGTCCTGGAGGTCTAATTTTTATAATAGTCCCTGTGTCATTTAACTCTGTGCAAAGACACATCTTCATTTTATCCACAAAAATAACAAACCCTAGAATATTTTTTTAAAGTACTAAGTAAGTATATAGAAGAAAATTAAGCAAGTAGGAGTAAGTGAAATAGTAAGTAATACATTTGGGTATCAGTATTTGCAGAAAACCAAACACTGTCCTCCTAGATCTGTGTGCCTGTGGCAAGTGGTTTATACATCTCCATATCATTAGGACTATAAATACTTCAGTAAAACCATCCTATCACTCGCATTTGCTCCCCCACGACCCTTCAGGCTGAAAACATGCATAGCTGGGTTCAGTTTTACCACAGTGGTTAATAAAGTCATTGTTTTCAATGGTACACAGAGGCCCTCTCCTCGGCTTAGATGCTTGTTAATTAAAACTCTTCCAGACACCACTCCTCAAGGGGAGGGCTGGTCAATAAGGCTGTAAATGTGCTTGTGCCCTGGGGCAAGTCTTCATGCCTCGTCTGTAAGGCTTCCCTCCCTACACTGGAAATGGTGAAGTGACTCTGGAATTTGGGAAAGAGAAAAATCAGTCTTGTATTCCCTTTCTTAAGAAGTCAGGGAGAGCATGGGAATGGATGGCTGATACTTCCAAGTACAAAGTGGCCCACAGATCTGAAAGCCAATCCTTTCTGCGCAGGTAGCTAGTCACCAGCTTACAGAGGCCATTAGTGTCTAGAAGTCCTGAGGAAATTAATTCCAGAGTCCAAAGTTCCAAGGCAATCATGGTTTATGAAATTTGCAGCAATACTTCTCAGTTGTTGGAAATTCAATGTTCTAGGTTTGAACAGCGTTGAATAAAGGGAATATAGTTCTCACCTTTTGAGAGTAGTGCTTGAAATTGCCAAACAAATGAACTGTCGATATTACTTTTTCAAATAAAAGATTTCCCCCCTCTTCTCACTCTCTTCCTCTCTAGAGTAGCCATCAGTACAGATGAGGTGGCTGAGGTATAATTGTTTTAAATTCAATTTAAATAAATTATCATCCAGATAGCTTATAGATAAATACAAATGAATTCGCTTAAAACAATGTTCAGCCTCATTAACAATAAAAAAATGCAAGCTAAAGCCAAACATGACAGTTTCCCCTATTATCTCAGTAAATATTGAACACAAGATTGTACTTAGTCCTGGCATGGATTTGAGATGACAGCATTTAGGTACACTGCTGGTAAAGTCTATGCAGGTACAGTCATTCTGGAAAGCCATTTGTCAATAGCCTTAAAAATATTTATGTCCTTTGTCCTAGAAAATGTGCCCCAAAGAATACGTCCCAAGTTATAATTAGAGACATAGCTAAAAAATGATGTAAAAGATGTCCATTACAGCATTATTTATAAGGGCAATCTGGAAATAATGAAATATTGGGAATGTCCCAATATTGGAGGTGTCCTGAGCATTTATTACAAATGATGTGTTAAAGGATATTAAATGAACTGTCAAGTGCTCAGCTCTAAGCTTGAGAATGATTCTGACAACGTTAGAATATATGCAGAGAGAAATAACATACCAAAATGTTAAGAATGATAGGATTATTTCCATTTTATATTTTCTATATTTCTCCATTTTGTAGTGTATTCCATATATATATTCCATATTTTATATAGAATGTGTTTCTTTTACAATTAGAAAAAGGCAACATAAGGGATGTTTTATAATTAGGTCATGTGGATATCTTATAGGCTTATGATAATACAAAGTCGATTCCATCTTATAGGCTTATGATAATACAAAGTCGATTCCAAAATCATTGGTATGATTAATAGGCATTTGTGTCCTAGTTCTTGTATCAATAATGAATTGTAATCAGAATTCACTTACTTTCAAGGAAAGACATGAAGTGCCAGAACATCTAATCAATGACCAAATCAGGAAGTACTTACTGAAAGCTTATTATGTGCCTTATTATGTGGTGTTGACAAAAACTCTCTCCTTGACCAAACTTTAATTGAGCTCCTCTAAACCCTCTTCCCAACTGGCCTTTGACCTTGGGCTTTAGTGTCTCTTGTTGATTTTGCACCACCCGGTTTTAGCAAGAATCCTGTTTAGAGAGAATCTTCCACTCTTGTTATCTCATCACTCTGGTCTATCTTTAGCAAGAATCCCCCACCCTTGATGTCTTCACTCAGTAAATTCCATCCACTGACCCATGCAACCTGCTGCTTGGATAGAAATCTCCATGTTCCTTGTTGTATTTGGAATTAAGCCCAGTTCTATAGAGCGATCTCCTCTACGGCAATAGTTCCTGATTAAAATCTGTTTTTTACCCCTTTAAATACTCTCCAGCTCTGGTTCTCTTTAAGTGTCCACAATGTCTTCCTGAAAACTGATTTATGAGGCAGGTCATTTTATTTTATTTTATTTTTTTTTTACAAATAGTTTATTGTCAAATTAGTTTCCACATAACACCCAGTGCTCATCCCCACAAGTGTCCTCCTCCATGCCCATCCCCCCTCCCCCCCACATCCATCAGTCCTCAGTTTTTGTCAGCATTCAAGAGTCTCTCATGGTTTGCCTCTCTCCCTTTCCCCCATTTCCGCCCTTCTTCTCCCCCTTGTTCCTCCGTCAAGTTCCTCCTAATCCTCCTATACGTGCAAACATATGATATTTGTCCTTCTCTGCCTGACTTATGTCGCTCAGCATAACACCCTCAAGGTCCATCCCTGTTGCTACACATGGCCAGATTTCATTGTTTCTCATTGCCATGGAGTATTCCATGGTATAGATAAACCACATCTTCTTGATCCATTCATCTGTTGATGGACACTTAGGCTCTTTCCATGTTTTAGCTATTGTGGAGAGTGCTGCTATGAACATTGGGGTACACGTGCTCCTATGCCTCAGCATTTCTGTATCCCTTGGGTAAATTCCTAGCAGTGCTATTGCTGGGTCATAGGGGAGTTCTATTGTTAGTTTCCTGAGGAACCTCCACACTGTTTTCCAGAGGGGCTGCACCAGTTTACATTCCCACCAACAGTGTAGGAGGGTGCCCGTTTCTCCACATCCTCGCCAGCATCTAGAGTTCTCTGATTTGCTCATTTTAGCCACTCTGACTGGCGTGAGGTGGTATCTCAGTGTGGTTTTGATTTGTATTTCCCTGATGAGGAGGGATGCTGAGCATCGTTTCATGTGTCTGTTGGCCATCTGGATGTCCTCTTTGGAGAAGTGTCTGTTCATATCTTCGAGGCAGGTCATTTTAAAGCAGTTCAAATTTCCCCCATGCTTTAATTTGGGATTATGTTCTCAATGAAACATCTGGCATTAAATAAATCAGAGCTTCATAGCAAAGACAGGACAACTTATTCTCTACAATCATATGAATCATACACTTATGCTTCAAATCACAGAATATTAAAGCCGGGAGGATCTTTGCAGGTTATCCCTTTATTTTATAAAAAAGAAACAAAGTTCAAGTTAACACCTTGGCTAAAGCTGCAGTTCTTTGGGGGCAGAAGTTGGAATCAGAATGCAAGTTTGCCGACTACTGCTTAGCCCATGTATACCACTTGTTCCTCATAAGCACAGTTGTTGAATTTGATGCTATCTCCAGGTAGATAGTGTCAGAATTTAGTTAAAGTATAGGACATTCAGCTGGTGTTGGTGTTCCCACTTGGTGCAGAGAAAAAACCCACACATGGGAATTGGGTACAGAGTTGGACTCTGATAGCTTAAAAATCCAGCGCCCCTGAGGAGAATTACTTATTTCACAATTATTCTTGAGTGCCTATGGGGTGTGCCAAGCACTGGAAATGCACCAGCTCTTGCCCTCAGTGAGTTCACAGCTTTGGGGACCCTGGACTAGGACAAGGCAGATGCCATGCAGCTATGATGAAAATCAATACAGGAGGCTGCGGGCCCCTTAGAAAGTTGGCTTGATCAAGTGGGGAGCTGAGGGAAGCTCTCTGAGGACCATTAGGGCTTGGGGGGAGGGTATGGAGGCAAGAGGAAGAACATTCCAGGAAAGGGAAGAGCATAGTCAAAGGCCTGGAGGGGAGAAATGATGTGAGTCTCAGAGAAATGAGAAAGTCAGTACTTCTCAGGTCCCTGGAAGCCAGAATGGACTCCATGGTGAGCAAGGAGAGCAGGAGGCAATGAGGGCCATATCAGGGAGGCCTCCCCCGTAAGCAAAGCACCTTAAGAGATATGGGCCCCATCTCCAAGACAAAGGGGAAACACCGAGGAGTTTAAATCAAGAGTGGTGATCAGATGCGGGCTTAGGGAGATTAATTGGGGGTATGGTGGAGAAGGAGTTAGAGGGGTCAGGATTTGGAGCAGGGAGACTGTCACAGTACTGAGGAGCATGACAGGGAAATGGTCCTGGGACGGAGACCAGCAGACGAGTAAGAGAGATGCCAGGGAGGCAGACATGTGAGGACACAGGGAGGGGATTTTGTGACAGGAGTCTCCTTTGTCTACTTTGCTTTCTCACTTTCTGAATGAGCAGCCCTGAGGGGAGAGAGTTTTGCAGAAAGGCAAGCTGAGTGAGGCCAGGGCCAGGAAGGACAGTCAAGTCTCCCTTCTTGGTTCTGTGATGCAGGGGACGTGCATAGTATGAAATGACCTCAGGGTTTGCTTGGTTTGTTTTACATTCACTAAAGCCTTCCTATTGCTGACTCTCCACCTGCCCTATGTAAGAAACCTGCTAACAGGCAGGAGAGTGTGGGAGGGGGCAGCCTCTCAAAGGACAAGGTGCAAGTGAAGGAGCCTGAACTTCCCGGGAGAATATTCCTCAGCAGGTTGATGGGGGAGCCTGCACTGGAACCCATATGATCCCTCCGACTCCCAGTCTAGTCTCCTTCCACCAGGTGAAAGCCCCCTTGCCTTCCCAGATGTGTTACTTCCTTCCCTTCCATTCACCAGCTCTGCAGTATAGACACCCTCTGTGAAGGCCTTGAACATTTGGACTATGTTATGGGTTTAGTTTTGTCCCTCCTAGATTCATGTGTTGCAGTCCCAGCCCCCAATACCGAACGTGACCTCATGTTGAAATAGGCTGCTTACAGATGTAATGATTTCAGTTCTGATGCGGTCCTACTGGACTAGGTTGGGCCTCTCATCCAATATGGCTAGTGTTGTAAGAAGGGGGAGAAAGGGACGCACACACAGATGTACACACACACACACACACACACACACACACAGAGGAAGAATGTCATGTGAATATGAAGGCTAAGATTGGGGTGATGCTGAGAAGGGCCTAAGATGGCCTGCAAACCACCAGAAGCTGGGAGAGAGGCACAGAACAAAGTTTCTGCCACAGCCCTCTGAAGAAACCAAGCCTGCTGAAACTTTGAATTTGGACTTCCAGCTTTCAGGATGGTGAGCGAATAAAATCCTGCCATTCGAAGACCCTCATTTGTGGTATTTTTTTGTGCCAGCCCTAGTGGACGAATAGACTGTCTGAAAGGTCTTTGCACACTTCCTGGGCAATAGTACCACAGTGATCCATGGGGTAACTCTACCAACATGGTCGGGGCACAGTGGGGTTGAGATTAATAGCAGAAGATTACCCTTGGGCTTCATGCTAAACCCATCAACCCTCTTCTCTCTCCTGGTTGAGCTGCTGCTCCTCCCAGAGCCTACCCAAAATTGTGTTCCCTGCTGAAAATGAGTAAGGGTTTCATTTCTAAAAGTATGAGTCACCAATGGTTACAAGTAAGGTCATGTCAATGATGATAATTTTTTTTTGAGGAATAAGAAATAAGAATGTCCTTAAATTCAGAACCCATAAATGTGCTCTATCTGAAATGTTGGCTAGTTGCTGAAGAATGCAGATATGTGGGTAGAAATGTATGTAATATGTACAAACATACATACATTTGCTTTATACGAAGATATATACACACATACATCCTGAATTTGATCTGCACTTAACATTCTCACTTAAACTTTCCTCCAAATTGTTTATTATAAAAAGATCCACTGTACTGTTTATATGCTCTGTCTTGGTTTAAACCTTTTCTTGGCAAGATTCTTTGGGCCTTAGGAAAATGTTAAAAGTGTATCCAGATACACATATAAAAGTACTTACCAAGGAACATTTCAATAACAGATGCCTTCATAGTGAGGACAACAATCTCCATAAATATCAAAATGGCACCCTGGAGAGAAAGAAACAAAAACACCATTACGTTTCAGCCAAGAGTTCTGAAATTGGATGCATGGAGTATGGGGCGAGGCCACCTCATTATGCATCGCTCCCTGGAGTCTCAGGATTCTAAGTGGCAGCTTGCTCTAAGGAGCCCACAGAGATGACAGCAGCCAGCCTCACTGGTACCCAGAACTCATGCTCACCACTAGCGCCTCCCTGTTCTTCAGAGATTTGATCAGAGAACTGAAGACGAAGTAACTCCATAATTTCAGGAATATGTCCAACCAGCCTTTAAATTAGGACAAAAGCCACACTTAGGATATTGAGAGAACATTTTTAGATTACAAGGAAACAATGCATTCCTCATTCAATAAATATTTATTAAACCCATTATATGGCTAGGTATTAGGGAGGAAGTGATAGAAATTGAACTAAGAAGGAGTTCTTATTCTTCAACAAACAAGAAGTGGGACCCAAATAACCATAGTGTAGACCCAAATAACCATAACATTAGTAAATGTGCCAGGCTCCATAAGGGAATATAAGAGGAATTTGTAGAACAGTGGTTCTCAAACTTTGCTGCATATTAGTATTGTCTGGGAGTTTTTAAAGACCCTGATGCCCAGGCCGTACCTCAGACCAGCTGAATCAGAATCTCTTAAGGTGGGATCTAGGCATTGTGTTTTTAAAAACTCCCCAGGTAATTCCAGTGTGCTGACAAATTTGAGGACCAGTGGTTTAGAGCAAGACTTGCTAAATATTACATGCATAAGAATTACCTGGGATCTTGTTAAAATGCAGATTCGAATCCAGTAAGTCTGCATACTGCCAGAGATTCCCCAAGAGGCCAGGGAATTTTAGAGAAAGGAGATATAATGTCAGCCATGGGAATAAGAGAAGGCTTCCTAGAGGCAATAGCATTTGGATCAACTTTGAAAGACAAACAGTTTGGACATGCAGAAATAGGGAGAAGCTACCCCAAGGTTCCTCCCTGGGGGAGAAACAGACCTGACAGGAGCTCAGAGGCTAGAAAGCATAGTGGATATGAAGATGCTATTGATCTATATGGGGTTTCCTCCTTCTCTTGAGGCTATCAGGAAACTCTAAAAGGCTTGTTCGTACTACCATTACTCATTACATAGAGCATATACTGTGTACTCTCTATTGCCTCAAATCTTCACAGTAAGCCAGTGTGGCAGATTTTATGATCCCTTCAGGAAAGCAAGGCTTATAAAGGTTAAATGTCACATCCTTGGTGACCAGGGTTGGAAGTAGGACCAGAATGGAAGTGGAGGAGGTGGGAAGGATCTGCCCGGGGCACAGGCAGTAAGGAAGAACATTGTCTGAAAGCATTTAAAGGCTTAAGTTAGTTATAAGCTATCAATTCTAAACAATGTCAATGATAAAGCACCCCTATCTTCTGGGGTGCATGGCTCTCTGCTCAGCGCCATTGCTGTGTGGCCTAAATCTGGCATTCATACCCTGCCCTCTGCTATGCCCAGTAGTGTGTTGCTAAACCTAGTCTCTGGGGCGGGGAGGTGGGGAAAGCCTCTGACTTGCAGCGTTTGTTGATGTCTGTGTGTAAATATTCCATGACTGATGATGAAGCCACCAAAGTAGAGAATTGGAAAATAATCTGGTACTAGCTAGGTCCAGTGCAAGCTTATAGCCAATATTTAGATTCAGTACTAAGCAGATTTTATTAACAAAAAGCAATTATCTAATTATGGTTGAGGAAGTAATACAAGTACCTGGTGCAATTAACTTAAATAAAACTGTTTCATATATGAGAGATTTTATTACAGACAATTAAATTAGGCGGCGGGAGTAACCTCAAACAGAACTGATTATTTTGCTAATTTCCAGGAGCAATTGCAATGTGTTAAATTTCCCAATAAAAGTAGTTGACTACTGGTTACATAATAGGCAAATAAGAGATTTTAGCTTCAAAATAGAAATAAAATTATATATACAGTCTATTTGACAATTTGATGCTTAAATAGCTGGGTTATGTTTTTGGAAATAGGGTGGTAACAATTAAATTTTGTTTTTGTCTTTTACTATTTTGATTCTGAGCTCCAGCCAGAGTTGCTTACATGTTTTCAGGACTAACCAGTTAACTTTTTATGGGATAAATGCAGGATATCAAGCCACCCTGCAGCACTGCAGAATTTATCGAGTCACCCTTGATTTCTCCTTCTCTCTCTCTACATCTTACCTATCAGCCAAGGCTGTTGGCTCTATATTCATAATGTGTCTTGAATCTGATCATTTCTTAACATCTTTGCTATTGCCATCTGCTCTGGGCCATGCCTCCTGTCACCTGGTAATTGCAATCAGCCTCCTAAGTGGGCTATCTCCTTCTTCCTCTGATGCCACAACCCTCACAGCAGTCAGCATGACCCTGTTTAAAGTACTCCAGCTCACAGCATTCCTCAGATCAAAACTCTAAAGAGGCTCCCCACATTACTCAGAATCAAAGCCCAAGTCTTGACAAGTGGCTTACAATGCTATATGATTTTCCACCATTGGCCCCCTGACCTCATTTCCCCCCCTTTCCTCCCTTTCTTAGTAAGCTCTGGATACAATGGCTTCCTGGCTATTTCTAGAACATACTTCTCATCTCATGGTTGATTTCCCCTACCTGGATGCCCTTCCCCAAGAGGAGAACATGATTTACTCCTCCATTTCTTTTATGTCTTTGCTTTCATGTTACCTTCTCTTGAGTCATTCCCTTACCACCCAACGCGACCTCTGCCACCTGCCACCAACTGGTACAGCCTATCCTTTTTCCCACTATTTTTTTCCATATTACTATTGCCACTGACATACTTTATTTATTTTACTTATTTATTGTTTGTGTTCTCCACTAGAATGCAAGCTCCACGAGGGAAGGATTTTTTACATGCCCAATAAATACACGTTGAATCAATGAATGGGTAGCCAGGGCTTTCTCCTTTTCCTAGGAAATAAAAAAAGGAAACAAAACAGACAGTCTTGGGAATACACTAAAAACTAGTGAATTGTATGCTTTCAAAGGTTATTTTATGGCATGTGATTTATAGCTCAATGAGCATTATTGATAGTCAACAAACAGAGAGAAGATGGATTGCAGAGAGAAATGCTCTCAGACCTGTGTCTTACAACTTGAGGAGGCAGGATGGACCTGACCTTTACATGTTGAGATGGGTGGAAAAAAGCAAACAGGATTCCAGGAAATACTCTAATCCTATAGGACATATCACCCAAATGATGACTTCTTCATGATGGACCTCAACTAGAATCACTTGGTCTCTTGGAATCAGAATGTTTTGAGGCCTCTTTCTTACCATTTCAATTTCTCTCCTTGTTTGGTCCATTTGCTCATCCATTTAAAATATAAATGTGCCTTTTGAAACGTGTGTTAAAAACTTCTAACCCTCTCTTAGCCATTCCAGAGGCCAGGAGTGAGGATGGCCACCACCAGTGTTAAGCTGTAGAAGTAGGCTGTCCAGTGCCACAAAACTGTGAAACCCGGGGAGAAACCCGGGGAGTGCACAGTAATGTTGGAGCCCTAAACCCTCATGTACCCACAAAGGTTTGAACAAAACCAAAACAATTGGGGTTTCCAAAAGAATGTGTGGCTGATTCATTAATTTATGGGTTGTGCCATGAAACATAATACAGAGTCCTGAATATGAAGTTCTGGCCAGGCAAATGAAGCCTGATTATGAAGTAAAAATACACACTAATGTAAGTAGAGGAGCCAGCCAATTTAATTAGATCTCTTGTTTCTTGGATTTTAGAAAAGAGCAAGTTGGTAATAAATAATAACATCACCTTATCTTTATAGGCTTGTTTAGTTTTTTCTCCTATTTAAGAATTGTGATAAAATGCATAAATGTAAAATTCACTATCTTAACCATTTTGTAAGAGTACAGTTCAGTTTTAAACACATTCATAATGTACAATCATCATCGACATCGATTTCCAGAACTCTTTTTGTCTTGTAAAACTAAAATTCTATGCCCATTAAACAAAATCTCCCCATCTCCCCCTTCTCCCCAGTCCCTGGCAACCAGAATTCTGCATTTTGCCTCTAGGATTTTGACTAAGTCCTTTATTTAAGTGAATCATACAGTATTTGTCTTTTTGTGATTGTTCCATTTCAAATAGTATAATGTTTTCAGGGTTCATTCACATTGTAGCCTAAGTCAGAATTTCTCTCTTTTCAGTGCTGAACGATATTGCATTGTATGTACAAACTACATTTTACTTACTGTTTCATCTGTTCATGAACTCTTGCGGTGCTTCTACATTTTAGTTATGAAAAATGCTGCCATGAGCGTGGATGTACAAATATCTCTTAGGCACCCTGTATATGCCTCAAAGGGAAATCACTGGATTATATAGTACTATTATGTGTTTGTGTTTTGAGGAACCACCATACTGTTTTCAGAATGGCTGCACCATTTTACGTGGCCATTAACAGTGCCACGTTCTCACTAACCCTTGTTATTTTTGGTTTCTTTAGATAGTACTCATTCTAATGGGTGGGAAGTGGCATCTCGTAGTTTTGATTTGCATTTCCTTCATGGTTAGTAATGTTGACCATCTGTTTGTGTACATGTTGGCCTCTTAGAGATCATCTTTGGAGAAATGTCTTATCAAGTCCTTTGTCTAGCTTTTGATCAGGTTGTTTTCTTGTTGAATTTTTGGAGTTACCTATGCTTTCTGGATATTAATCTCTTATCAGCTATGATTTGCAAATATTTCATCCCATTTTTTTGTATTTTGTTTGCAGTGCCTTTGATGCACAAGATTTTTAAACATCCATGAAGACTAATTTCTCTATTTTTTTGTTGTTGTCTGTGCCTTTGGGTGTCATATCCAAGAAATCATCATCAAATCCAGTGTCATGCAGCTCTTATCCTATGTTTTTCCCTGTAGGTATTACATTTAGATCTTTGATCCATTTGAGTTCATTTTTGTTTATGGTGTTAGGTAAGGGTACAGCTTTGTTCTTTTGCA